GCGACGGACTGCGACGGACACACCCGACTTGGCGATAAATTCTAGGTGATGAGTTTCACTGCGCCCTGAATGGGAGCTATGAGTATTGGGTCAGAGTCTCGATACAGGGCGAAGGCTTGTCGTAGGCCAAGAGACGAGAGAACCAGGGTCGCGGCGAATACCCAGCGCCTCGGATGTTAACCTGAAAGGTTCGGGACGGGGAATGCAAGAGAAGCGGCAGAGTCTAGAAGACACCGGTGAATGGTAAACCGTATTGGCAGCGAGGTGGACGGCGTCGTTTGTCTTGACTAGCCAACATTGGCTCTGTACATAGAAGATTGTGTGACTGGGATATGTGGGTTTGTTGCACTTTATCCGTACGAAGTACGGAATACAGACTGAGACGGCTTCACTAGACCACAGCGCATAATGTGTCCTCATGCCAGCCGATGTGTTTGGCGAGGCGATTTGACACTGGCTTGATAGCTTTCATCGGAGCCTTGTTGTCTGATTTGAAGTTTTCGAGCGCTTTCAGCCCCAACTTTGAGATACTCTTGACTTGTCCGGATCTCAGCATCAATCAGTTCTCATTGCGATCAAAGCGAGTCGGCACATGATATCTTGAACTCAGTCATGTTGTCCACAGTGCTGCTCCTGGTGGCAATAATGCGTCGTGTGTTTACCCTTCCGAGTTAGATCTCAATCAATTAGCTTCTCTGGTCAGAATGGCTACGGATACACAAATAGATCGACGAGTTTGAGACGAGGTAGACGGTCGTTTGCTGGCCAATGCAGAGAATGTCGCGTGCCGGCTGGCGGGGTTTGGGTGTGAGAGAGTCGAGACTCGGCCGCTTGCCTCACTTTGATTCGGCCGGCCTGACAGACAAGTCATGTACCCCTTAGCTCAGACTGAAGCCGAATGATGTGGGTCCACGATCAGGATCACGCAAAAGAAGACGCAATAGCTGGATCGAGTCCTACGATTATGTCTGTGTTGAACAGGAGCAGGTTGTGGACCGTGAGATCCAAATGCTGCGACAGCGTCATGAGGGTAAAGTAGCCGTATGGGCTGATTATGTTGCTGTAACTTTGTGTCAGAGTGCGCGCGCCGTGTTGTGGATGCGGTTCGTCTGGAACGGGCAACAGAACAGGGAAAAAAAGGAATAAGAGACATCCGTCGGACTCAGAGACGGAAGAATCAGGACGGAGGCACGGGCAGGCACAAGCAACAGCAGAGGCAGCGGCAACGGCAACAACATAACGGCAGGCAGCCCCCGCCTTGAGAAGTTGAGCCAGTCAAAAGCAACGGAGTGTGGGTTGGGCGGGAAAGGAAGGGAGAATGAAAGACGGATGAGAGGAAAATCCAATCGCCAAGATCGCTGGCCAGCCACGAGTGATAAGCTTTGCCAAGAGGGACAAAGCCAAGACGGGCAGGTGTGGGAAAGACGGGGTGTCGGGTTGGGGGAGTTTTTAGGAAGGAAGCACGGAGAATGGGGGAAAGCAAGAAAGCACAAGCCACTTCACCTACCTGCCTACCACCTACCTGAGAACACAACAGTCACTTCCATATTGCACCATCGAAGCGCGTCAATTCGTCCGGCTGCAAGCTACCAAGAATAGGTGGCTTACCTTAGCAAGCGCCCTCCCGTGCCTCCCTTCCATGATTCCATCTGTACGGAGTACCTACGGACTAAGGTACACACGATTATCTGCGGGGTTGAATTGAGCCAATACAATCTGGTATTGGCTACTGGATTGGACAGCAGAGACAACAACAGGTTTTGGCCCGGCTGCCACCTGCCGTTCTGCTGATTCTCTGGCACTCCCCGTTTGCGGCAACGTAGGCCAAGTCGATATGGTTTGCCGGGCGCCGATATCACCTCACTCTCACTCACCACATGTATTACATCCTTCGTACGGATACTTGCACATCAAGCAGCTATCCAAACAAGCAACACCCAGAAGACTTTTTAGAACCCCTGTGTCGATGAGGATTTGCCGTTGGCCTGAGCTCTTGATCCCCTTTTGCGGACTCGGGAACGATGCAAATGGCCGAGAAGGGACGGACGGGAAGCTTGTTTCTAAAGGAAAAGAAAAATCAATCCCAGCGCCTCATATCCGTCACAAAAGACAGGGCTACGCCGCCACAGGGCCTGCTACAGTAGTGGTGGCCTGTCAGTGGTGGTTTTTTTCTTGCACAAGTTTCCCCTGCTCATTTCCAACACAGGTACGTACTCGGCCAGTCACCCATCTGGACGTTGGCCCGCATCCATGGGTTGCGGACGACCCGCAGTTCTCGCCCAAAGGCTCTGCTCATTGGACGTGCCTTGACCGGATGGGTGAGCCCGGGGCAAGGGGCGTGGTTGCAAGAGGGAACGCCGTGCCCGGGACCCCTGGCACAGTGTGGGATCCTTCCGCAACGCTGGCCTTTCATCATTTCCTCATCCAGCTCAATGGCCGCCGAAGCGAGCCAGGTCAGCAATACCACTCAAGAGTCAGCACTGGGGCTCCTTCCGTTCTCCTCTCCGTCTTGGTAGCACACACTGTCCGTCTGTTCAATTCCTCCCGTCTCCGTATTAAATCGACAGCGATCACAAGCTCGCACCTCTATTTTAATTAGAGTTGGCAGAGCCACGATAGGCGACGATGGGACTGAATTTGCTGATGTCACCGCTTCCCCTCAAGCTCTCCATAAAGCTCTTGAAAAAAGTTACGAGTGATGAATCGACAGGGAGTACTGTAAGGTAAGTCGAACACAAGTCGAGGGGTCACATTCTTTGTCAACCCTTTTACCCTTTTCCCGTGTTTCATGAGCCAAGACAAAACGCTCCGAGCTCAGTACTCAAGAGACGACTGGCCGGCCATCTGATTTTTGTACTTGATCAGCGCGGCTGCCCTTCTCCGTGTCAGGGTGCTCCCCTCGAGACGGAGAGGCTTAGCCACCCTCCGTACTACCGCACCGTTCTCGTTCCCAGCACCTAACAAGTTGCGGCCACACTCGCGGACACGCTCTTTCTTCACCTCAACGGTGGGCACGGCGATGCAGCCCGCTGTTGTCTAGCGCCGGGCGTACAGTGTCTTACTCTTCAGAGTACGTATTCTTTCTGTATTAGATAATATCCACTACTTATTTTCGCAGGTAGGGACACCCACGCGATGCAGGTGGCTGACGGAACTGGCGGCGTCCACTTGTCTGGCTCACCTGGCACGCTGGACTACTCCAAAACAATACCTAGTCGTCTTCTTTTCCCATTGTCGCTGGATATCGAGCACCACCGCTTTCTCCTTGCCCAATCCGTGAGACGGCGGTGCGCTGAGTGATTCTTCCTTATTGTACGACGATGCCTCCATAATCACATAATCACATACTAGCATCGACTAGACGACGATGAATCTCTCCACTGCTAGGACCCGTGACAACCAGCGAAGCTTTTTGAACGAGCCTTCTGTCACACCACGCGATGTAGGACGTGAATGACAGCCGACTAACTGATTTGTTCTCTACCAACTTTCCCCTCCAGCCTGATCTCGATGGCAGCGCTCGCCCTGAGTGCTCACAGTGCAAAGCTGACCAAGAAGGGGCATGAGCGGGGTCTTTGCACGCCTTCTCGCTGCAATTTCAATGCGACGGTATTGAATCTCACACTTGGTGCCTCTTTGGAAGCATGTCAATCAATTATTCGCAGCCATATCCTGGTGCCGGAGAGCACGCCTCAATACTGACCGCAGGTGCTCCATACTGCGTATCTTGTCTCCCTTCTGACAATCCCACGAAGCTGGAGCCAGCGTCCATACAGATCGACGATGGATTGCGGAATGGCGTCCGGCAATGCCATGCAGAGTCGGAAGCTTCTTGACACGCCTTCTTGCCAAACGGCGAAGGACCCTTCTCTTGGTGTCTGTAGATCGCCCCGAATCTCGTCGGGTCCGCCAAGCTGTCACTACACGATCGCGCAGTGCTTCGCGACAACTGTTGGGAGAGCCGGTCCCTCTGACTCGGGAATTCACAGTACGACGACTGTGCACTTGAGATGAGGGCTACATAAGCCCCACTCCTCATGCCACCACATCCGCGTACGATCACCGTGGTCCGAGTCGTATCCGATAGTATCGAGCACAGTTAGCGGAAACGTAGAGCTGGGGAGGGTGTGTGGATAATCCCAGTCACACGGCTTCCAGTGTGCTTCGCCTTCCTCGCACCAAAACCACCTACCGCCCCGGCACCCCCCTCGAGAATCAGAATGACACTGGGAGAGTCGCTGCTCCCCCCCAATTCTCTCCCATATCCATCCGCGTCCCCCCGACTTGCTATTCCAAAACACTTTCGAGACGGTCTACGACTCCACCCGACGAGCAAGAACAGCCAGATCTGGCCAGCACCAATCTAACAAAGCGCAACACTGTACACGCCATACAGGACGCCGCCTTCCCCTCTACGGCGACTCAGCAGCCCCCCCGGAAGTAGCTTTTACACTCTCCTTTCCCCCCCGGCCTCCTTCTTTTGCCCTCTCTTTCCCCCGTATTCTCTTGTCCTCCCAAAATCTCTCGGCGCCCAGCCTGCGATCCCTCCCACATTCCCCACACGCAAGCCTTCTTGGAACACTTTCTACCGACAACCTCAATCTCGACCCGGTTTATTAACAATTCGATTGTGACCTTTGGCTATTTTGGTCTTCGTCTGGAGGAACTTGGAACATTGACGATTGCTTCGAACCAACTGCTCAACCCTCCAACGACTTTGTGCGCGACTTGAGAACGCCTGGACTCGTACCCTCGACTCTCGCCGCCGCCATCCGCCCGACCGAGTCCCGGAACTCGCGTCGCTCGACGACAACAGCTCGACGCCTACGTCAATCGACACTGCGAATACACCGACGACTGCGAAGCTTATTCGATGGCGAGTGTTCGCGAATAGGACGAAGCCTCTTTCGATCCTCGCCTGCGGCTGGCCGCTCTGTTCTTCATCGACAAGCATCCGACGAGTCGGCGCCGCCATCATGGTAGATCTCGCCGCAGCCGCGAGCCCCTTGCCCTCTCTGGGCGCCGCCGGGGCAGCAGCCGCGAAAATCGCGACCGCCGCGCCTATCATTATTGCGAACAATGGCATCAACTATGAAGAAACCACGACCGGAGGCGCGGTACAATACAATGACCTACGCGACCCCTTCTTCGCCTCCATCTTCCCCGTCTGCTACGCCCTCGCCGCGACGACAGTAACAGCATACATGCTTGTGATCATGCTTTTCATTACTCCTCGATCATTCCTCGACGGTGGAGTGGTATATCTGGGCCGACGCGGGTTTACGAGTGGCGGAACATCGAATGGAATCAGCATCGGAGGTCGACCATGGCTGCAGAAAGTGGCCGCCGTCACCGTTGCAATTTCTCTCACAATAGCAAGCGCCGACACGTTTAAAGTTGCCGAGCAGCAGTACCAGTGGTCAATTCAAGACGCCAAAAAGATGCAATCGGAGGTTATGGACGGAACCGAACTGAAAGTCATTCGCCTTATTTCAGACACATTTTTGTGGCTTGCACAAGCCCAAACTCTCATCCGACTCTTCCCACGTCAGCGGGAAAAGGTTATCATCAAGTGGACTGCGTTCGCGCTGATTACGTTGAACCTCATCTTCAGCGCCTTGAACAGCTTCCAGTATCCCACCAGCGGGAGCAACGGTAACGCCCGTCCACGAAGCTTTGTGGACGCTGTTCCCGCTCTCAGCTACCTATTTCAACTGTCCCTCGGCCTGTTATACGCCGCATGGGTCATTTACTACTCGCTTATGAAGAAGCGATACGCCTTCTACCACCCCTTGATGAAGAACATGATATTGGTTTCTACCCTATCTCTCTTCGCCATCCTTGTACCAGTCGTTTTTTTCGTACTGGATATGGCACAGCCAGAATTCGCTGTATGGGGAGACTACGTTCGCTGGGTTGGTGCTGCAGGCGCCAGTGTCGTGGTTTGGGAATGGGTAGAAAGGATTGAGGCATTGGAAAGAGAAGAGAAGAAGGACGGTATCCTAGGACGCGAGATTTTCGACGGCGATGAAATGCTGGAGGTCTCAGCATCTGAGTTCCCATGGCTTAGGAGGAGAAAGAACAGGAACGGTGGTAGGGACGGTGACGGTGGCGAAGACGGACCTCAGGGTGGTTCTGGCGCTCAAGGTCCTCCCTCGGCCGAGAGAGGCAACATTTGGCCAGGCATGACACATATTGCCGCCAGATATCGCTCCAATCACGCCCACACCAACTCGGGGGCAAACAACCAAGGCGGCCAGAGATCAAAGGGCGGTCTGCTGCGTCCGCCCATGTGGCCTTCTCGGCCCGCTCCCGCGGTCACGCCAGTGAGCCGTACAGACACAGCAAGCGCAGCGAGCACCGTCTACGCTGTAAGATATCAGCTGCCGTCTGAGACTACCTCACGGACACCCGAGGCAGTTATCCGAGCTGCCAACCAAAGAAACGCCACAGCTGCCATGTCAAGGAGTAACTCGACATCATCCAGGAGCGAATCGACAACGAGTGACGACGAGCTCTCAATGGCGGCGCCCGTGCCCAGACAAGCAACGCACAAGACCGTTGAAATCGACACAGAGGCCCAGGAGGACATGACGGAAAAGAACCGCAATGGGTGGAGATCTCTGGTGGCTAACCCACTCTTCCGCCGCACTGCTCGCGATCCACCAGCCGAGGTGATGGCTCACACGGAGTCAAAGCCTGAGGTGCGCGGTGGTCACGATGATGCGGGTAGATGGGATCTCCGGGCTCGCTTGGAGGACTTTGCTGCCACCCAGGCCGAAAAGATCAGAGAGAAGATGCGACCAACTCCCGAGACAGATAGCCTTCCGGTGACCGTTATTCCTGCGCCACCAAGACAAGGAGCGGCACTGGCCCAACTGCTGGAGGAGGAGCAAGGCCAAGAAGACCAAGAGCAACCGGGTCTCAGCAGAACCATCAGTGACGGCTCTGCACTCTCGCCCCAAGCTGCGGCTGGTCTGGGAAGGACGCAAAGCAATTTCTCTCGTCGGTCCCCTGCCGCAGGTCAAGGCCTAGAGCCTGCCACCCTTCAGCTCAGCAGACCACCTCTCTGGCCTGGAGTAAGGACTCAACATCAGGACTTTGAGCCGCATTCTCCAAATGCTCCGCCCACTCCTTGATGATGATGAGCTTACGCGGTTTACGAGTTTCTTTGTCGATTATTCAAAAGCGTGGCGCCGTGGCTTTCTGACTCTTTTGCATCGCGAGCAAGCATAACGGCGCATTACTACGGGAGATCGGACGACTCTGGCACGAGTCTCGATTGGTTGTTTAAAATTTCAAAGTGTATATTGCAGATGGAGTATATGGGAAAGGGGGAAACGCCCTCACGAGGGAGCGGAAACCAAAAATCTTTTGCAAATAATGAGGAGGGGGCCCAATTGTGGTGTCATGTACATGTCTGGGGAATACGGAACGAAAGCCCACAGTAGGGCGGACGCAGAGTATAGAAACGGGCCTTTTGCGGCTTTGTGTTTTTCAGCCTGGTCAACAGGTGATCCCTCCCTCTCAGAGTAGGAGAAGGCGATCGAGCCGCGCGCGCTGTACGAGATGGAGCCTCATGTTGGGGAGAGGTATCTGCGAGCCGCAGTCAAACTGTGGTGAGCGAGGTGGTGCAAGCGCGCAGTACCAGTACCAGGGGCCGTTTGGTGCATGGACATGAGGTGGTGAGAGGCAGAATAAGCGATAGCCGCACTGGTTTCAATACGTTCAATGGAAACTTTTCCAAAGTACTTGTTTACACTTGCTCAACGTGAACTCTATGACCGTTGTGGAATCATCACATTGAACCCATGTGTATCCAAAGAGTCATCTTCGAAATCAATTTTTCTATACTCACGAACAACGTCAACGGCTGCACGATGGTCAACATTTGAGAACATATTCGCGGTTCACCAAGGTGCAGCAGCATCTGTCTTTCTCTTTCTCAAATGCGTGGCCTAACCTATGCCAATTGGCAAGGCCGAGCGAGCCTCAGATCACAATTCATCTGCTATACTATTCGAGGCAGATGTGATACAAAGGCCGCGTAGTCGGGAGCTTCAGAAGCGTATTGTATCACAACCGCCACTACCACTGTCCACCGGGGATCGCTGGTGCGTTCCACCGGCAAACGGCGCAGAGAAGGATAGGGAGTAAAAGTGCGGCCAGTAGTACCCCCATGAAAACTCTCCGTTCCCAATATGACAGGTAAATCTTTTACTGTATTGGGTCTTGGCACTTGGCAACGGCGAACGAGGCTGTGATGAACTCTCACTTGAAGTTCCAAGGGGGGTTGATTGAGAGTTCATGGGGCTGAATGCTGGACTTGGCAGACGAGCGGCCTGACATACTGGATGCCGTCGGGCATTGCTGGCGAGCATGGGCAAAATTTGGGACGTCTTTTGTCGAGGGTGAGAACGAGGGGGCCAAGATATCTGCGAATGCAGCCGTTTGACAGTGAATGACTGGAACCGTCTCCATGGTGTGAAAGTAGCATTCCACCTTGGCGCTCAGGGGAGTGTCTCTCTCTCTCTCTCTCGCAGAAACCTCTAGCAAATTACTGAAGATGACAGAGGACGTACAGCTGGGCGCAGAGGGCTTCGCCAAGTTTTGCCCCATCGTGGCTGATGGCTACGATGCGTCAGCAGTATGAGTCCAGAGGCCCTCCATCGTTACGTTACAATCCCGACTACGACGGATAGCAGAGGGCATTTCTTCGTTCTTGACGGTGGCTCCTCAGAGGCGAATATGGACAGTACAAGAGGGCGTTGGAGGTGCACCATGTTGTACCTGCATTAGGCCCCGACGACAGCGGCGGAGGGTGGACTTGATTGCGGGACGACAGCAAGACTCCGAAGGCCGCGCAAGTGTTTTGTCCCGACTGCATCCGTACTCCGAGATCTTCAGGAAAGCTGTGTTGTACTACCTACGCTGGCCATTACGTACCAGTGCAGCGAGCTGCTGCGGGTTGAGATGCTGTTATGGAGACTGCGAAACTTTGAGATAGACTGAGGTGGCGGATTGCACTGTAGACGTGTTGGAGCGAACCCTATCTGACTTATAGGAGGTGACGAAATTCTAAAGGCATACCAGGCTATCGGGTTAAGGTCCTAGGGTAGGCTGTATCCGTACTGTACTCCGTAGTTATACTCCGTAGCGGGGGGCGGGGACGCATTCCTCATTGTGTGGCATGTGAGAGAGGGTCGGCGGAGCCAGCATCCTGGCGCACCATTTGGCGGGGTTGAAAGTCTGATATGGTGTCTAACTGGACATATTGAGTGGAATGGCGTTTCTGAGGACTGCATCTAGTCTGCCTCGAGAAGCAAACATTCGAAGATTGATTTTCTGTTCAAGTGGCCCAAATCTGTAAAAGATAATGCGTAGGCTCGGTTGCTTTGGCCCTGGTAGCTGTGGTTCGACGCGAGGCAAGAACAGTGTAGGTGGCCGTGATGCTGGCAATGATGTAGCCGCACTGATCAATGGCATGCGGGCTGGCCTGGTCGATGCTCATTATCGCAAGTCTCCGAGATTGGCGGAGGAAGTCGATACATGCGCCACGTAAAGCATTCGAATCCTTTCGTAAACCTTGTTGATTAGCGAGAGAAGGCAGCCCAGAAGAATCTAGCGTACGTCCGTCTGCGGTATCTCTTTGGCATGAACAAATATGAAGCTTCGTGGTGAGGCTTGCTAGAGCTTGTAGCTATGCAGCCTTGCCTATTGCTACTCGCTGGCGAGGAAAGCGCGCTCATGCTACAGCTCTGTGCCCTGAAGCGTCATCGTCGACGTTGACTTGGGCCATAATAATTTGTCGGTTACGGGGTATGGTATTCTGAATCCGATCTCGATCGCAGCACTGGCTTGACTCGTTTGCATGGCTGCCAGCTCAGCATTGTCTGGTTGTCTGGGCCAGATTCCAAGGCACTCGGATTTGAGCTTTGTGAAACCTAGGTGCGAGCCGGGGACATCTCTGTTCGCAGATGGCCTGGCTAGGTGAAGACGGGGAAGAGTCCTCTTGAGCTATGCCATGTTGTCCAATCCAGAGGGATAGCCCTGGTTATGTCGTCCACGTCGCTCTTGTGTCTGCATTTGTAGCCGGAAATGTGGATACGTTGTGAGGCGTGGGCGGGCGGGCACATGACTGCAAAGGAGGAAAGATGATGCAACAGCACGGCGCTGGGAGAGAAGGGAATGGAAGGGAAGGGGGTGGTGCTGGCTGCATCAGGTTGCGATTGAGCTGAGTTACAAGAAGTTACAGGTAACACAACAACGGCGTGGCCAAGCACCCAAGATGCAAGAACCAACAGTCGCATCTCTCCTGCAGTGGGGACGCCAGATGCATGCCCGATAGTGTGACCCAGAAAGGAGGCACGAAAGTAAGGTACCATACCACCCTTACCACCCATAAGGTACTTCGTACTTCAGCATGCATTTCAGGCCTCCCGATTCCCGAGCAGGGGGCCACCGCGGGTAAGATGGGGCACGCACCGGTACCCCAAGCAGGAACCGGCAGATTAACGACGCCTCCAGGCAGGTGTGTGCAACCATTTGCTACGAGGTGCAGCTTTGCCTTCGAGGCACCCGTGGCACCTGTAGCACCTTACTGCAATTGTATAGCTTGCTGGAGTTTGGTGTAAGCTCGTTGGCTGTCGTCCGTAGCTCCCGTCTCCATTTGGTTGGTCGACCATCTAGGCTCCTAAACGGGTCTTGGCGAATTTCTTTTCTCCTTTCTCCTTACTTGATCTTAATTTTTTTTACCCTCCGTCTTCATGGCCATCTTCGCGGTTTGATCATTTGGATGGTTTCTTCCTCTTCCCTACCATGTTACCATGTGCTTGATATCATCAACGGCATCTGCACTTTTTTTGCTCTGACAAAAACCAGTGTCTGACCCCCATCTGCTCTCACCCAGCTAGCCCTTTTATCATTCGCTGTTCCAGCTCCTGCTCTTTGACCGCATTGCAGTGGTAAATGGAAAACAGACGACTGACCTCTCGGTCAGACGAATTCACACGACGAAACACAGAAGCCTCAAGGAACAACCTTGAGTCCGACCTCGAGTTTCCCCCCCGTCGCACTTGTTCTTCAGCAGCTCCACCGACCCGCCGACCACGTTCGCCCTGTCTTTCCTTGACCAAACTTCCATGATCGACAGCGGGCCCCCCACCACCTTCTCGACGTCTAATAAATCAGAACCTGGGAGCTCCTTTCCAACCCACGACTACCTGACCCGGATTTCCTCCTCCGCACCCGCCGACAGCTTCCCAAACTCAAACTCGCTGTCTTTCTCCCCTCTCTTACCTCATTGCGACTTCATCCCGCCGTCTTGCCCTCCGAATCCACCGTCCGACTGCTTTAAACCACCCGAGACGCTGTCAGAAGCGTCCTTCTGTCACCATGGCCGACTCCGAACCCTTCCCTCTCCTCAGTACCTCTGTCGACCAACTGCATTCTGCCATCGACCACGCACCCAGCTCGTCATCACGAACAACACGACGACGAAAGTCAAGCGCACTCGGCCAAGACATCCGCGCTGGCGATACAGGCCCTGCACTTGCAACAGCCCGAGACAACACCTCCGTCATACCTGTAATACCCCCCCCCCCTTCGATCCCATCTCTGCTAGTCGTCGCCCCGGGCCTTTTTTCTAGATGCTGTCCTATATACAACGTTCAACTGACCCCTTGTCTCCTATAGACTGTTCCAACAAAACGTTCTTCGAAGCGCCGGCGAGCTCGTGGCGGCTTCGCTCGAATTCGACAAGCCATGACTAAACATACGTACCTCGTGCCAGCCCTCATCATTGCCCTTACTCTGGCCCTTTACGTTGTTCAGCCAAACGACTCGAACCCGCTTCATCGCTTTATTTTCCTCTCATACCGCTTACCATCCGACCCGGTCAATCCTGATGCCCCTGCTCAATATGGCAAGGGCCTATGGGACATCGCCTTTGTGTCATTTTGGACCGTTGTCTTGACTTTTACTCGGGAATTCATCATGCAAGAACTTTTGCGGCCGCTTGCTCGCGCCGCCGGCATCCGCTCGCGTGGCAAGCAAGCTCGTTTCATGGAGCAGATGTACACTGCCATTTATTTTGGCTGTCTTGGACCTGCCGGTCTATACGTCATGAGCAAGACGCCCGTCTGGTACTACAGTACCCGAGGCATGTACGAGGACTTCCCGCATATGACACACGAGGCCGGCTTCAAGTTTTATTATCTTTTCCAGGCTGCCTACTGGGCTCAACAAGCAATCGTATTGCTGTTGGGTATGGAGAAACCCCGGAAAGACTTCAAGGAGCTGGTTGGTCATCACATCGTCAGTCTTTCTTTGATTGCTCTTAGTTACCGCTTCCACTTCACCTACATGGGACTGGCAGTGTACTCGACTCACGACATCAGTGACTTCTTTCTTGCTGTAAGTAGACGCTGTTCCATGCGAGGCCACAAAGCCAGAAGAGGCTGGTCGGGGAGCTACAGGCAGTGCTAAGTCATTCAACAGACATCCAAGGTACTGAACTACATCGATTCTCCAATCGTCGGTCCTTATTTCTTCCTCTTCATGTGCGTTTGGATTTACCTGCGCCACTTCATCAACTTGAAGATCATTCTGTCTCTGTTCACAGAGTACACCACTGTCGGGCCATTCGAGTTGAACTGGGCCACTCAACAATACAAGTGTACACTGTCGCAGTACATCACTCTTGGACTTTTATCGTCACTGCAGGCTCTGAATCTTTTCTGGCTCTTCTACATCTTCCGCATCGCCTATCGATTCCTTCGCTACGACATCGCCGAGGACGATCGCAGTGACGCAGAAGTCACTGATGTCGATGACGAGGCCGAGAAGAAGAAGGCCCTGTCCGAGAAGACCAACGGCCACGCTACCGGAGTCAACGGCATTGCGCCTCAGGCCAGGCTTGTCAACGGCCGCGCATGATAGAACCCCTCGATAAGGAACGAAGCAAGCAGAGGATGCAAACTGAAACAACCGAGGTATTGTCGGTTGCCATTGAACATTTCGCCTGCATATAATGCTACGACTGGCGGATACACCCAGTTGCTGCGAAGAGACGGAGGGGGAATACCAGGACATGTCAAGCACCAGGACGTGTCAAGCACCTATGCATCGCTACCTGAAGTCGCGATAGTCTTATTTGGAACGTCGATTTGGAACAAGAAAGGTGGCTCAGCAATTGCCGAAACGTGGGGTGCAGAGCTTTTGAATCACGACACGTGCTGGGATCGCGCCTCCTTACCGCACTGACTTCGACACATTCCTACGAAGTGTGCACGATGCGTGCAATCAATCATCACACGCCGAGGGCACAACACCTACCAGGCCGACAAGTCCCAGAGAGACACTCAATGGGGGCAATCGTTGTCAGACCGGTGTTTGGCAAGAAATCATCACCAAGGCATTGGAAGGCATACGATCTCGGGTGTCGGTTAGTGCTTGATCGGCTAGCACCGGTAATATTGTTCCAAACAATCCGCATCTCTGAGGCTTAGCGACAGTGAGCCGAGGTCAAGGCGTCCGTGGTCGTAGTGGTGGTGGTCTCGAGAGGGGTGCGAGTGCGGAGACAGATGAAGTGAGACAGATGTGCGTCTGTGGACGATGACGGCGCTTCATCCTGCGCAACCAGGCAACATGTCGGCACCCTCCCCACACCGCCTGAATACGGTCTCACGCCCACTGGGCTCTCGTGCTCCTTGTGCTCGCGATATCTGAGCCCACATCTCACTCATTCCCTCCCACCCTCGTGACTTCCTGCCGCTTTAGTACGTCTGGGAACGAACACAAGACGGGAAATGACTCTGTCAGACTGAGGCACTTCCCGATCTAGGGTTGTAGGTTCAGCGACAAGGTGTAGAACGATGGGTCAGGAGGAAGTATCGCAAATGAGTATACTACAAGACTCGGCTACACATGTGCGAAGGGAGACAGGGAGGCAGACAGGCGCGTCGTCATGTATGTTGTCTTACACAGGAGAAGGAAGTCTTTGGGATCTCCAAAGTTTATTCCTTCATAGCCAATACAGTCTAGACATCCACACCAACGATTTCAGAGTAGTAGTTACTGGTGTAATCCAGTTGTATGCTCCATTTCCGGTGTAAGCTTCACGTCAGATGAATACAGTTGGACACGCAGGACTTTTGGAACCTATTTTGAGCATTGAGCAATATTGGATCGCTCCCGGCGCAAGCCCATCTTGCGCGCGGGGATCGCTACCGTCTATGGACCTTGACCTTTGGGTTGCTGCGAAGCTGTCGTATAGCTGCGGTCCCCCATAGAAAAAATAAAGAAGAGAGAATTGGCCTGGACAGCCGTCCGCCGTCTCTCTTTTCTGATCCACCCTGTCCGGTCTTTGATACTATGACTAGGAAAAATGCAAAGTAGACTTGCTGATGATGCCTCCACAATCAAGGGAAGATCCTTCGTCCATCTACACCCACTGCGTCCGCGTGGGATTTGAAGAACAATGATAATGATGCTGGTCCGCCGCCGCTGTCCGAGGCCGTTTCCATCCACCCCACGACCTCCGAGATCCAACCCCTTCTGGCCACCTGAATTGATCTGGGACAAGAAAGAGAAAAAGTAGGCCTCTTCGAATGTAAAGAATCTGGTATCTGCGATGCAATGTCGAACACGCTGCCCATGGTAGCAGGTGGCGATCTGTAGTCGAAAAGCAAAATCTTGTTGCTGGGAACCCATGATTAGTGGAGAAGCCGCCTCTCCTGTATAATGATGCTGATGATACCGAAAATGCCCTGTCCAATCCAGAGAGAAGAGACGAGTCGCTTATCGCTGCTGTGAGGACACATGGTGTGTTGTCAACGCTGGATGGGTGTGTCGCAGCCATGTGTCCGTAAAGAGCGTTTCTGATAGCGAGAAATCGAGAAAAAGAACCCCCCACCCCCCTGAAGAGTAACCGACCGAGCCTGACCGAGAGACCGTTTCTCGGGGTCAATGTTTTTGTTCTACTCGTGAAAGTCCTTTTTTGTGTTTTCGGGATCCTGATGATGAAGGGATAAAGAAATGTGTGAACTCCAAACTCCGAGTCGCCGGTTTGATGCAATCTTAAGCCGTTAATCCGTTAAACCTGAGTCATAAAAGGCCCAAGCCTTGTGTTCGTGAAGGGAAATGTGCGGTACAATTTGAAGGTCCGCAGATTAGGGATTAGTGAGAAATGATGACGATGGGTGGTGGTGTGTTGTGTTGTGGCTGATGAGAAGCAGCTTTCGCCAGCAATGAAGCATAGGCAGCCAAATTCATGCCTTTGTCACATTTGTAGAGATTCTGACTGGAAGAATCAGTGTCGTCGAGGATGGTGCGAGTCATCAGAATGATGTGAGTGATCAGAGTGATGCGATCGGTCAGAGTGATGTGAGCGATCCGAATGGTG